TATCGATTACACGAAGTTGTGAGCGTCATATGATTTCGAGATTGTGAGGGCGAGCGCTTAACATAGAGTACTCAAACAACAAACTATACACATCAGAAATGTTTTGTTTTCAATGGAGTTCCATCCACGATATGGAAAACACTAGTGAGAAACACGTTTCACAAAGAAAAGTGAATAACGCGTAAACCACGTGATGTGTTTTACGCGAAATTCGGTGTAATTCGCCAAATACTCTTAATACACAATCGCGTTTCTCACATGAAGTTTTACACCACTTCACGTAAAACGAGTTGTGAAACTACACTAATCATCCTTATAAATTTCGCAAAGAAATATATATTCCAACACTGTCCGCCCAAGGCATCTCACATAAACAGTATGGCAGAGTTTACTCGCCGCTTTCAACTCGTTGATGTCGTCCTCCACGAACACCGCTTCATTAGGTTCATATTTTCCTCGCATCAAACCTCGAATAACTTCAGTTTTTCTCGACCTTAAACATCAAAACCGCCGAAAAGCGATGTGGGAAAATATGCACATGGTCAACAACAGGTAACATTCTCATTGGTTTCTGTACACTTCTACCCGAATTTGTATGTAAACTTCTACAGTCAAAGCGAACGTCGTTAAATGAAGTGGGCATATTTTTGAAAAGACAAGCTATTAAATTAAAATTTTGGGTAATCAATCGGTAAAAAATTAAAAAAAAGGGATTTTTTCCCAAAAAAAAGGTGGTTAAATTATTAAAAAAATCGGGTAAAATAGCAGATTGACCCGGAAATGCTGTAGACTCAGCTGAGGAAAGCAAACATATATTCCTCCAACACTGCTCCTAAGCAACTAATTAAACCATGTATTGCTCCTTATCAAGAACCGTGTAAAGTGATGCGTGTGAGCAACCAATCGGAAGTCACTGACCAAGAGCCATGGTCCTCGTCGCCTTCCAAAGAAGATAGAGAATCGTCATCTCGACAAGACTTGTCAAAAACGCTCTCACCGTAGACATCACCGATGTTGCCGAAAACTCCACCCTTGAAATACCTATTATGACATACTCAATGGAGTTTCACGACCGTGATATGAAAAACACTAGTGAGCAGTGAATAACACCTTAAAACGTGATGTGTTTCACGTGAAATGGGGTGTTTTTTCAATTCACTTCATATCGCAAGTTTCACGCTACTTCACGTAGAGCGGGTGGAACTCCAATGTAATTTGAATGATCGGACTTACTCAAGGAGGCCGCAATTTTGCAAAACCAACTGAACACAGCCAATGTTGCCACGAGTAATAACGGCCTGAGAAATATGAGTGATATTATAATATTCTTATCTCACTCGGGTAGAGAAGTCGTCAGACTAACTCAACAGTGAATCACAATACCCACTCCTGATATAACACTTATACATTGCAAAGCTAGGCTAGTATGGCACAATAGGGACAGATATACTTTGTGTGCTAGGATACTTATCCTACACTCGTGGTATGAAAAACCGCATATGAGCAGTAAATAACGCGTGAAATGTTCCACGTGAAATGGGGTGAGTTGTCCGGTGTAATTCGCGAATTGTTTTTCACTCACTTCATATCGCCGGTTTCGCGATGCTTTTCACAGAGTATTATTATGCCACTTCGCGTGAAACGGGTGAAACTCCATCATATTACTAGGGAACTACCACAATTGATGAACCAATACATATAGAGTAATTATGTTTTTTATATAATGGAGTTTCACCCTAGCGATATGAAAAACACTAGCGAAAAATATATTTCACCGCTACTGCATATCGCGTATTGGTGAAACTCTAATATTACAATAGTACGTGATATATACTACAATTATATAGTTGAATAACATCTACAGAGTGCGTTGGAGTTTCACAACCCGTTTTACGTGATAGTTACGTACGTAATACTCTGTGAAAACTCCGATATTCGCGGTGATATGCAGTAGTCGCCAAATATAATATTTTTCACTAGTGTTTTTCATATCACGGTCGTGAAACTTCATTATTTCATATTCTACTACCATGAGTAATTAAAACATTGGAGTTTCACCCGTTTTACGTGAAGTGATGAAAAACTTGGTGATAAACGCGATATTCGCGGTGATATGTAGTACTCGTGAAATATGTTTTCATATCACCAGGGTGAAACTCCATAAATACAAAGTAGCAAAACTCCTCGAGATGTACACAAACTCACCCACCAGTGCCACATGTTTTTGCTCAGAAAGAGTCCGGAAGAACAACCGTAGTGCGTTCACTCGGTCAGGCCCTCCAAGAGAAGCAACCGACCAACTGTATTTCTGCTTGCTGTCTGCGGACTCCTGAGAGAGAAAAATGAAATCACTAATTAGGAATATATGTTCGCTCTCCTCAGCTGAGCTCAGGAGTTTCCTCACTGATGATAAAAGTCTACACATGAATTACAGCGGAAGTGTACAAATTTTAGATAAATTTTTAGGAAAATTTTTGTAGATTTTTGTACTACAAAAGTCTACAAAAGTTTCCAAAATTTCCTCAGGATTTTCATATTTTCACCAACACATGTAGTTGACCATGTGCATATTTTCGTAGAAACCAGAAACCAGTTTGGTAAAACATGCAAATTGTCAGCCACATACGTTGGTGTCAAAATGGAAATTCTGAGAAAATTTTGGGAGATATTTAACTACTTTCTACTCGAATTCGTATATGAACTTCTATAATTAGTGAGAAAACTCCTAAGCGCCGTTGAGGAAACCAAACGCATATATATGCCCACACAGGTGTACGTATACACAACGGTACGGTCCACATTACAGAATAACAGCAATAAACTACTCGACAAGTGTGGTCGCTTACGATGGAATTTTGGAAAATATTCAACTTCTCCTCGAATTCGTATATGAACTTCTATAATTAGTGAGGAAACTCCTAAGCGCAGTGGAGTAAACCAAACGCATATATTTTCCTACACTGCCGAAAACACTTACAGCCGACTTCGTCAGTTTACCAGTACGTTGGTCATAGTGCCACCCAGCATCTTCATCGAGTTGCTTCACTCGATGCATCTGTCCTCGCTCACTAAGAGAAAACGGTTGCGGTATCTGATTGACATTAAATGCTGATTATCTCTGGAGTTTCCCAGTTACACTATGATTTTCAAATCAAGGATGCTATTGTGTTGTGTTCGATCAGTGATCGCAGCACTTCAAACGAGTCCACTGGGAGATACGCATATTGGTTTGCGCAATGTAGTTCATCCCGAATGTGATCCGAAAACGGGGAGAGGAGGAAATCGAAAAAAACAATTCTTATTGGAATTTCAAGATGGCCGTTTGGGAAACAGCATGATGATATGCGAGTCATTTCAACAGGCTTGAAATGATCCCTCGAGAGGTAATGTCCATTCAAACGATGTTGTCATAGCAGGCGTTGGACTAAGAACTCACACACATACCGTCATATCATCATCACCAACGAGAAGAAAAGTTCCGAGAGCTCCCATGATGCACCAATGGTCGCTTATGGCGTTTACTGCAATATAACATAATCGCTATCGCAGTGTGGGGGAAAATATCCACATGGTCAACTACAGGGTGGGGAAGAAAAGGGCTCACCCCTCGTAATTTTGGTGCAAGTAACAGGTCGTGAACAACAGAGGAACCACTTGAAAGCCCTCATCGAGCTCTCCAGCGGTTTGTCAACGGTCCTGATATCCGTATTGTGCACAAGAATCGGCTACATAGGAAAAACCCTACCGGTTTTGACTTGGTACTCACTAGAGTTGTTCAAAGTGCCGCCAACAATTTTGGTCCTTAAGCACACCTCGCATGCTCTCTTCGCGACAGAAAGAGGGATGACATCCCATGGCTGCCCTCAATCTGTCGAGGGTCATGATAGCCGGATAGCGGCTTTTTGACACTCCCGCCAGCTGAAGCCCTCACAAGAATTTCTTTCTCATGATTTTTGCACCCGAAATCAGCTGGTCTCTTCGCAGACAAACGATGAAGTAACGTCACATGTTTATCAATTGAACCATTCGACAAGAAAAACTCTACCAAGTCAAAACAGGTAAGGCTTTTCTCTGTGTAGCCGATTTTACGTTTGACGATACCTCAGTGCACAACACAGATATCAGGACCGTTGATGAACTGTTGGAGAGAGCTCGATGAGGGCTTTCAAGTGGTTCCTCTGTTGTTCACGACCTGTCACTTGCCGCAAAATTACGAGGGGTGAGCCCTTTGTTGCACCATCCTGTACGCGTGTTGGTGACAATACGGAAATTACGTGCAAATTTCGGGGATTCTTATTTACTTCTGTACACTTCTACCCGAAATCGTATGTAAACTTCTATAATGTAGTAGCTTTGGAAACTCCTGAACTCTAACTGAAGAAAGCGATTACATATATTCTTACTCCAACACTAGACTATCAGTCTCAGTGCAGTGATAATAATTTGTCTCATAATTCTGAATGAAGCGAAATGTTGGGAAGTTGGGAAAATCTATACATACGTTTACATATGTTTTCCTGAGGACTGAATCCTCAGCTGAGTTGAGGAATATACACAACGGGTGATAGAAACTCATAAAAACCAACAAAAATTTCCTTTCAAAATTTTCCCCCAGACTGCGACTATAATCACCTCTTGTGTGTGAGCCCAGCCCGCTAGTTGCTTGAAAACATGAACAACCGATATAGTTTGGTCGAAGTCGAACATTGCCAGACGCAAACGTGAGGCTTCTCTCGACGACTCCAACATGCTTATAAAAAACTGACTTTCAGAAATGTCACACTGAATGTCATTGATCCGAAAGTTGAACGTCATCGAATCGAACGGCCAAAAATGTTGTATTTAAATCCAACTGATGACACACATTCAAGTGTGACAGATATGATTGGAGTTTCACAACAACCCGTTTTACGTGAAGTGGCGTCGTAAAACTCTGTGAAAAACGCGATATTCGCGGTGATATGCAGTAGTAGTCGTGAAATATGTGCTTTTCACTAGTGTTTTCCATATCACTAGGGTGAAACCCAATGAACATGCATGCTACTATATTTGCGCGCCAACAACGATACAAAAAGTGAAAAGAAACTCCAACATGATTTTCTCGAAAAATTTGTGATAAAAAATCTTACCTTTGCACGGGAACGGCATCCAGCTAGAGCAGTGAAAACATTCACAGCGGCAATGGTCTGGTCGAAATCAAACATCGCCAGTTTCAATGTAGACTTTCTCGAACGCGAATAATAAGGTGGACTCATAGGATTAATACACAGAGAAATTCTTAGTTGGAATACAATTATGAATACCATCCTTCCGTGAAATCATCACTCAATGTCAATGTAAATGTGAGAGGAGAAACATGGTGATGAATTGTGAAAGAAAATTGTAGCTCTATTGCTAATACCAGCAATACAGCAACAATAGTAAGTATGCGAAGTGAAAATATCCTTCTTGAACAGTTCCAGGTAAGGAGACTCAATCGACTAGGTAAGTTCGTTATTCTATGATTGCTATAGGAAAGGGTGACCCCCTCAGCGTAAAAGTAAGGTGGGTAATCTTATTCTCAAGCTGATTAATTCCATGTAGAGGTAAAGTCGAGTAAATAGAGGTAAGTAACTAATCTAATCCTCGAGGTAATTACCTCAAGGTTAAGGTAAAGTCAAGTAAGTAGAGGTAAGGGTAATTAATAATTCCCTCTACGAGTAAAGGAAAGAGCTGACCAACGCGGATGCACAGTCGAAAACAACATGTACCCTTTACCGGCGCATTCCTACTGTACCAAATTTCGACATATAATGCGGAAATGTATATATTCCTACCACAACAAACTGAATTCGATGAAGTCTCTCATACACCATGATTCGTCAACTTAGTAGTGGCTTCAGCCTTACCTGGAGCTGGACTGAGTTGTCCTCAAAGGCAGCCTAGAAAGGCTCCTTGGAAAGCAGCTCGGTTATATCATCATTAGCCCACTACTCTTTATCACATCAAATAGGAATAAATTCCTATATTCACTTTATTATAAGTCAAGTCAAATGAGGTTATTTAATCACTGAATATTAAAAACATATTTCACGACTATTGCATACGGCAAATATCGGATAATTTTCTCACCTAGTGAAACTCCACTGAAGTGTATTGACAATATTACTGATGAATATTTCAGCTGCATGACTCTAGCGTAAATCGTTCGAGTGTAGACAACCTCGACACTAGGACTCACACAAATTCATAGTCCAG